GGAGCAACTCTCTCTCTCTCTCTCTCTCTCTCTCTCTCTCTCTCTCTCTCTCTCTCTCTCTCTCTCTCTCTCTCTCTCTCTCTCTCTCTCTCTCGGTATTTTAGTCCATTAAATTTGGGACCATAATAATAATACAAACTATAGTCAAGACATTTCAAATAATGAATACAAAGAAAAGCACTGGGGGGCATGTAGGATATTATGATGATATTGATATTGGTCAACATGATTGCCCATCCCTAAGAACGACTCAATAGTAGTAGATCTAGCTATGTAAGTTTTTATTACATTTTTAAAAGACCAAGAGTATGTTTTTTTGTGGTTTGTTGTTGTTGTTGTTGTTGTTCGTCTCTGCCTAAAGCTATCGACCCCAGGTGAAGGTTACAGCATAACTTGGCTAGGTCTACTTTAATTATCAGACAATTACACGTAAATTCAATACTTTGTCTCTCACCATATCTTATAATAACCGCAATTTTTTCAGTAGTATCATAGTGAGATTTGCAATCCCGACTAAAATAATAACTGTCATTAACAGGACAACGGTACCATTGTCTTATTTCCTACTCCCCTTTCCCCCTTAATTCTTGCTTGATTTTTACACTTTATTCACTGTGTTGCCAGACTACCATAAACAATGGGGATCAAACATGTTAAGTTCTTAAATAAACAGTCAGTCCTTATCAGATACGATTTTCTGTTTTCTCTTTCTTTTAGTATATAATCCAGCACCGTTTGCTCTAGATTTGGGAAATTTGAAAAATAGGGCATCATCCTATTTGAACGAGGAATTATGAAGTCGAAACGTTTGTGGTGGTCTATGAATTCAGCTGAAAGCCCAAGTTTCTCCTTTAATCTGTTAGTCTAAGAACTGAACGGGAAGGATATATACGTGTAGCTAGGCTACTTTTTTTCCTTCACTTTCTTTCAAATAGATCTTAACATTGTACTTCTCTTGTTTGTACACATGTAGTAAGTTCAAGCAATTTGGATGAATCATAATTATTATTAAATATTTTTTCCGAATTGTTCTATAAACGAGCGTACCGTTGAAAAAACCGGAAGAAGACTGTCGCCGTTTGTCAACAACGACGGAATCAAAAACCGACCATGGCGGCCCAAACGACTGCTGATGAAGTCTGTAAATATGCCTATGAGGGGAACTTGGCTGTTTTGAAGCTGAAAATACAGGGGAATAATTCATTTTCATCCCGGAAAGACACGGTGAGTTTTAAGCTGTCTGCTTCATTTTGTAATTAAGATAATTTGTGTTGATTTCACAGCAGACTGAGAAGATGACATTGCAGTCTGTGTGTCTAATTATTAGACTAATAGTAACTTAACTCTTATCCTGCGTCTGTGCCCAGATGCGTATCTTATCAGCAACCGATTCCGTCGGACGTGCCGGGCAGGCCGCCGGGGT